ACTTAGCACTGAGTCAAATGTTTTGTTAAATGAATCAAATGTATTATTGACATATTAATAAGATTAATCAAACTGAATTAGGTGGAATGAAATTGGATTTTGTAATTTTATAATTAAAATTGAAGTACTTTTACCACTGATTATACTGAAAACGATTTTCTAGGCAAATTGTAAAAAATTATTGTATTTGTAGGTTTTTACTTGTAGTAAAATAATCTAAGTTGTGGACTGAATGAAAAACAGGGAATACATAATAGTTATTTAAATTTAGTATGAGATTATTTAATTGTGCTTACTAAAGAACTCACTAGGAATCATCATGTTATATTACGCATTGAAATCATAATATTCAATGCCAAACTGATGGCTTTAATGGTTGAGAATTTACCTCAAGATGTGAAAGTAATATTTACGGATTTTTGAGAGGTGCTTATAAATGGCTACTGTTGACTAGTCCCATTATAAAACGAAAAAGCTGTACAGAGCATTCTATTTTTCAATGATACTTCAACTGAGATCAATCTATGATGAATACAATCTAAGAGGTAAACTAATATTCACGAAATGTTTAGAAATAAAATCATTGTATTTTTTTTTTAAACTTTAGGCTATTTGATCTGTTCTTATATTGAGAAAAACCTTCAGATATGAGGAATCACTGAGATGTGTTCAATTTTGAAGATTGCTTTAATTACAGAATAATATCATCTAAGTAATCATTGAGAAATAAGGTAAATTTCAAATACATCAAACATCAATTTACATAATGTTCATATATTCACCTAGGACTTGGCTTCAATGTGATTATTTTATTATTCGTAGGAAAATCTAAAACCTGTAAAGATTACGTTAGTTGTCAATCAATAAACCAATGATGATAATATTTGGTGCACACCGCACTGTTTCTTGAACTGACTGATGTTTGAAATGTAAAACACTGGAGTTTAATTCAACTGATTCACTCTATTTTGGCTACACCAATATTTAAGAGGTTCACACAGAAGTAGGTGAATACTTCAAAATAATTGCGAATTAGATTGAAAAACATGTAGAATTTCATTAGATACTCAATAGTTCAGTGTGTCAGTCTATCGCGTAAATTAACTATAAATATTGACTTTCTTAAACATTGAAGTCAGTCAGCTACAACGTTGGACCAGGCACATATATGCATCGGTTCAAGTTACCACACCAAATTCATAGGAGTAGTTACTTCAATGATAGTAATGTATAAAAGAAAGAAAGGTATAAAGTAATTTTAATCTCACGGTTTAAGGGAAGACAGAGTATATACACTTACGCGATTGTGATCGATTCTGAGCCACATCACCTGGTCTCCAACCACTGATTACGATGGCCGCGCAGACCCCAACCAAGTAGTCTGCATCTATCATTATGGCTCAGACCAGAAGTTAGTGGCTCTATGGATTGATGCTACGTTTTGATTTGGCTGCTCCTATTTTTCTTCCATCCGTCTCCAACACTAATCAGCATCACAAGCCGTGGTAATCGGTGGTCGGGGATGTGTAATACGTGGCCCAACCATCTTAGTTGATGAAGATTTACAATCTCACCAACTGATTTACCACCATTATCCAATACCGTGCGTCTAACCCCATTATTACTTATCCGGTGATCCCGACAGATACTGGCAATATTTCTAAGACATCTCATTATTATTCTCTACCCTTACTAGTCACGTTTCGCAGTCGTAATGTAGAGTAGAACGAACTGCTGTGCATTATACTCGTCATTTAATTGATAGACGGATATCTCGCCTTCACCATATGTGATGTAAGTTGGCAAAAGGCAAACCAGCTTTTCGAATCTGTGCACAGATTTCGTCAGACACTAATCCATTAGGGCTGATCGAATTTCCAAGATAAGCGAATTTGTCGATGCTTTCGACTACTTTACTCCCTATTCTTAGTTCAGGTGTTGACACAGGCCGGTCCTGAAACATTTAGAGGGGTAAAGCAATCCATAAAAATCTTTTCAATTCTAACATACAAAGTTATTCATTGTTACTGCAAAATGTTTTGAGATGTTTAGAGACTTGTTAAACTTAATGGAGATTGGTTTCTTTATCACCATATTATAGTCACTCAGTTTTACACTGATGATCCAGTTTATGTATTTAATAAAATGTTTTCTTACACCTTATTGGATGATCTGATTTAAAAAATATCCCGATTAATAGAGTTCGATCATGCTAATTGTGAGGCAGTTCCCTATCAACGTTATTGAAATGTACTTCGTTTTATTATAAATCCAGTCATGTGAAGTTAAACGTATAAAGCATTGAATGCCAACTCAGTAGTCATAAAGAACAAGTGCTCCTGTGTTTACCCGAGGTTTTAAGCTCGATCTGTGGTGGAGTCGTGCATATAAACTGTTGTTGAGTCCCGTTTTAGGATCGAATAACTCTGTAGTGCATTCAAATATGCAATGGTTGACTAACTAAGGTCAGTTCATAATGTACATTGTATTATAGCTATGAGTATTTCATCTGTCATTGAAGTGAATACTCAATCCAAGTATTCTTTCCTAACTCTTAATCAGTGAACAATTTTAATTATGTGAAAAACCTAAGTATTGTTTATCAGTGAGGCAAAGAAATTAGATTTTTATCTATTTTTAATGTATAAGACTAAAACCGTTGGATCTTTTGAGAACGATGAAAAAATTGTGATATTGAAATATTAGTGGTAAATAACTAGATTCTGTGATACATTCAGGTTACATGGTTTACATCAAAAACTGACACTGTTTAAAGAACCATTGAGATTTTTTAATAATGCATATCCATAACTATTCAAGTCATTGAACCCGAGGACAATCATGCCATGAAGAAAGAACTCAACCTTCATAACACTACATTGACATCCATTGGTTTAAATTTTTAACTTCAATCGATTCATGTTATTTCTGTGACCATAGAATTCAGTCATGTAACGAACAAGCCAGTCACCCAGCATTAGTATCAGATGGTTGGGTAATAGCGCCAACTGACCGAGATTAAAAATGCAAACCATTTCATGTTAACTCAGTGATCTGAAGGCTAAGAGCCCTAAGAATTAACAATTAGAAAACATTTTATGGATTACTTTCAAATATTTACGTAGGCCAACATTTATAGTAAGTTTACATGATAAACTGTGACATATTGAACTATCGAGTATCTGATTAAATTCTACACCTTTTTCAACCTAATTCGCAGTTATTTTGAAGTATTCACCTACTACTGTGTGCAGGGTTGAACCTCTTAAATCTTGGTGTAGCCAAAATAGAGTGAATCAGTTGAATTAAACTCCAGTGTTTTACATTTCAAACATCAATCAGTTCGTGAAACAATATTCACTGTCGTGAAATCCTGCATTAGGATCAAACTTTTTTCCAATACTTCCCATCTTTCAATATTTGTTTAAAACATCAATTTATGATGTAAAATTTGAAATAAAGTAATCTCCACAAACCTTAACCCTCAATATATTCTAGTTCCTTACTTCCTTGAATCCGTTGTAGAATATTAACTTAGAATTCTGATTTTATTATTATGAAGAAAAGCAAACTATTTTGCCAATTATTTATTATTTGTATGAATTGAACTGTTGAATGTCATTGTTTAGTGATTGGAAATCAATTAAATATCGATTGCATCATCATTTCTAATTACGTAACAATAACCTTGTTTTTTTTAAAACTACACATTATATTGAAACATTGTTGACTTTCCTTTCACTGCTTACATCACGTAAAATTACTTTATAATTCAACATTAAAGCTAATAATCATTGATTAGTGTAAGGATTTTTGTTTCCCTCAATATTCAATAATGAGTAACATCTAATTAACCGAGTTTCCTTTTTTTCGATTTTTACCATCATAAACAACAAAGGAAATTCACCATCATTATTATTCTTCGATTTATGAAACATACTACTCAGTGTAACATCAAATATTACTTTTTCATTACTGAAATAAACAATAATTATCCATTGGGAAAATATTTCACTTAAACAAATTAGATGATGAATAGTCATTGAAAAACATGGTTAAAGTGTTTCTCATTATTGATCGATATCTTAATTTTCCAGGTATTTCAATGTTATTTTACCAATTTAACTTTCATATATTTAGAATGATTAGACTTAATTCAGATTATAAATGATTTTGTTAAGCATTTGATAGTGTATAACTTCAACGAATGATGACATCATAAGGTACTATTTTTTATCATTTGTAATGTATCCAGAAAGTACTTTTAGAGTTCTATTTCAACTGTGATATTTCAACCATTAAGTTCAAGCTTTGTGTAATAATAAACAAAAGAATAAATGGTGGTTAGACGCGCGTCTCATCTTAATTGAGACTCATCAGCTGGATATATCTGCATCCCAGAGTTGATTTCCACTTCGGCACTCGAATCCAGCATAGTTAGCTTCAAACGTCATCGCGTTATCCACTTAGCTACTAAATACTGATAGCCACTTGTTTGTGCAGTGGGGTGAAGTTTACATTCATTTTGTGTTGTTTGTTTGAATTTTCCGATTGATGTTTAGGACTCCAATTGATCAGTCCCTTATTGGCATATGTGCTTACTGTGCATATTGCCTTAGTAGTAGCTATCAGGACTCAGTAGGTAAGTGGATAATGTGATGACGATCGAAGCGAAAGGTATTGGGTTCGAGTCCCAGAGTGAACATCAACTGTAAGTTGCAGGTACATCCAGCTGACCAGTCTCAAGTAGAACAAAACGCGCGTCTTGGATTCCACTGCTAGCCATCATGCATCCTTGGTTAGAATACTTATGACTTAAGGCAATATCGAGTCCATCCGTACAGGATGCACGTATACCAATAAAGGACTGTTCAACTACAGTCCTAAATATCAATGAGAAAATTCAAACAAACAATACAAAATGAATTTAGGTAATGATGTTTTTTAGGGTATTCCAATGGATTATCATAAATTATAAAATGAAATATTTAATTATTCACCTCGACATGAAGAGTAACTCGGCTTATATGAGTTGGATCAATTTCTTCGGCTACTTTTAATGTAAATATATTTGGATTGGGCAGTTTCACTGGCGGTTGGTCTGAAAAATGTAAAAAAAAGAAGAAAAGTTTTGAAGCTTGTTTTCATCGAAGCTAAAATATTTTTGTATTATACAATGAAAATGTGAAAATCATACATTAAGTAAATCATTTACACATCTTCTTTGCATTATTTCTTACGAACTTCAATTGTCCATTATATGCTTTAATATTCGTCCCATTCTGTTTTTATTACAATTACTCTTTGTTCTTCTACATATTCTGTTCAATTCAGTCCACTTCTGCTAGGCATTCCATTTCCGATTGCGGCTACATACTTCTTATATCCGTCAGTATAAACAGCATACACTACTCCAAAACGTATGAAGTTACATTTACCTTCTACATATGTTATGCATTAAATGAACACTGATGTGATCATTTGTTAGAAAATCGGTAAAATTGGTTACCTATTACTTATGAGAAATGATTGAAGATTGATATTGATTAAATGAAAGGTAGAATATAAAATTGAAGATGATGATTTCACAATGCATTAATAAATAAATCCATAATTAATTCAACCATTATTAATAAATAATGTCTTATTTATTTTCCATCTAATACGTAGTCACATTTCAACACATTGAACATGAACTGTGCTTGGTAGGAAATAATCAACAATGTTATAGATTTTAATAGTTGACATCATGAATCAATTGAAGCTAGGCCAACATGGAAGCAGTGATCAGTGAAGTTCAACCGGGTCTGTTGTGAGATATTAACTCCCTGATAAAAATGATGGATGTGTCACTCAATTTCGTGGATTAGTTGAAGTCAGACATAGCACCATCGGGTGCCTGTCGGCTCAGTGGTCTAGAGGTTGGGCGTTTGCGCGCCATACCGATAGGTCCTGGGTTCGAATCTCGCGAGGCGAGGTCGTGGATGCACACTTCCGACGATTCTCACGATAGAACGAAACGACTATCCAGTACTTCCAGGTTTTCTATGGCTGTCTAGCTTCAATTGACTCATGATTTCAACTATTAAAAGTACTATAATATCCACAAAATCCCTTCGGATATTAATGTTATGGATGTTTACATTTAACAATATTAATAGGTTAAACCACATTAAATATTGTCCTCTTCTTAATGATAATATATTATAAATATATATAGTTTATATTGAATCGATAAACTAGTGAATAAGTACAATTCAATGAATATGTGTATTGAACTGCAACAGTTATATACAAAATAATGATGATATCCAACGTCATGGATAAAAATCAAATTATAGAATAATGAAGTGTAATTTCTATATCTTCAATGCAGAAAGATACAAAGAATTGATCAGTTGAAATCAACTAAGTGATATTTTATTCCAAATGATCGTTTATGAAATAACAGAATTACAGGTCAACTAATTCACTATATTTACATAATATAATCAGAACTATGATTTATGTAGTAATATAATCCAGTCACTATACCATGATTATTATAAGGAGCTTGTGAAAATTACTGAATTTTATTGTTTACATCATGGATTGATGTTAATTAGACAATTATTTAAAAAAACCCAGATGTTCTGGATATATGTTTCGATCTAGTAAAGATTTTTACTGAAAAACTATGAGGCAGTTGCCTACTTATGACATTGAAAGGTAGTTGTGTAAAATTGCGAATTGACTTGAATTTATATTTGTAAATTAGTGATTCTAAGGTTACAGTTTAATTGAGAGATCTAAAGGTTTTGATTTAGATCCTTGATGGAGTCGTAGATGTGAACTGTTGAGGAGTCTAATTTTACGATAACACACCTAACCAGTACTTCCTGGTTTTGATTGGTAGTTTAACTAAGAAATGTTCATAATACACATTAAACTATAACTATGAATAGTTTATCAGACAACAAATGAAGTGTCACTTCTACCTAACAAATCAATTAGGAACTGCGAAAATTCATTTCGGATTTCTTTATGTTGGATAAACAATTAAATATTCAATGTAAATCTTGATACACAACGGCATTATACACAAATATCACTTTCATATGAAGTGTAAATTATTTGTCCTATTTGCGTAGAGTACTGAAAACCCTATCTTTCTCAACTCTATGTATTTATCTTTCTTCTTTAAGAAAATCTATAATATCTATAATTTGGTCTAATTTGTCAAGGTTTTTGGTATCTATGCAGTTGCATCATAGGTTAGAACTATGATATTTAAACTATACTTCAATAAATTACCCTCTTGAACGGTATATAAATATATATATTGTGAGTTGCCATTATGGCTCTCTAGTTGAATTACTTAATTTTCAACCAACAGGTAAAGACATTGAAACTTGATCCCCTTTCGTCTCTTCGATCATCCAGTTAGAATGAGTGGTACATATACAACTGAAATAACAATCGATGTCATACACTCTTAGTACAATTTGTTATATGTCGAAAAATGTCTAAAAAGAAGGAAAATCTTTTGTTTTTATTTGTTGTGAAATCTTCATCTTTGAAAAGAATAAGTTGAGTTGATTTAATACTGTAACAATGTAGATTAGTATAGGGTATATCCTATTCTAATAGTGAAATTATATAAGCTTTAAAGGTTTGACCATCATTTTTACTAAACATATCTTTTAAACTTTCCTTGTAGATAGTTTATTTATTTATTTAAACACATAGGCATTAGTACAAGGAGACACCAGATATATATAGATATGTGCCATATTTCTATATTCGATTTGTGTGAGGTCTGGAATACTGTCCGAGCGCTCAAACCGAAGCACATGGTTTTATTAGGAGGCCACTACACTAGCCTTTGACCGATGAATGGATGTTACCAAATGTTGTGCACTCAGCAATTATAGGAATGACGACGATAAAGATGAGTTATATGAGAGGCTGCAATCGATCATAGAAAGTGCTCAGGAAAAAAGCTGACAAACCTGTTGGGAGGTCTAAACGCCAAAATCGGAATAGACAACAACTTTATAGAGATATCATGGAACGACATGGACTAGGAGAAAGGGCGAGACTATAATTTATGGACGAAACAATCACGTATAATATAACAGGTTTCGGATTTAGCTCGAAACTCATTCATACATTCGGATAAATAGTTTTGGCATTATAGCTGATGTCAGTTCGTGATCAAAACCCTAAATTTAATTTCTAACCTTAATCATCAACTGTAAATCAAAATCTCAATTGCCCACATTGGTTTATAACTTTCATTTGCTCCTCGTTATTAGGTAGACACTCTCAAGTTCACTTTAGCACTGCTCATATGTCGTCCATAAATTATAGACTCACCGGAGAAAAAAATGAGAAAAGGTAGAGATTTGCAAATCTATGTGCATTCAAAAATTGGTTATAGGCGGTACAATATTCCCACACAAATACATACATAAAGCTACATGGATCTCACTGGACCACACCACGAAGAACTAGATAGATCGAATTTGCATAGGTAAACAAATCAAAAGGTCAATGGTAAACGTGAGAACCAGGAGAGAAGCTGACATAGTTTCTCATCGCCACCAACTAGTTGTGGCCAAGATAAAACTGGAACTAAGGAAGCATTGGGCAACTGAACAAACAGGATTACAAAAGTTCAATACAGCCTTCATTTGGCATACTGGTAAACTCAACGAATTCAAGGTAACTCTCGACAACAGGTTCCAAGCCTTACAGGATCTACTCAGCGAAGAGGAATCTACTATGGAGGACAACTGGAAAGGTATGAAAGAAGCACCAACTTCAACATGTCAGGAGGTTCTGGGTTGCAATAAGCATCATCATAACCAGTAGATATCTGTCGGAACCCTGGACAAGATTGAAGAAAAGAAGAACAAGAAGACAGCAATTAACAACAGCCGAACAAGAGCAGAGAAAGTCGACGCACGAGCTGAATACACAGAAGCAAACAAGCAAGTGAAGAAGAGCATTATAGCCGACAAGCAGGAATATGTGGAAGAGCTAGCAACGACAGCTGAACAATCTGCAAGAGAAGGAAATATGAAGCAACTATATGACACGACGAAGTAATTGACAGGTAAATACAGTAGATCAGAGATACCGATCAAGGACAAAAAAGGTACATATGGGTGGAACAGTGTGAGGAACTCTTGAATTGACCAGGTTCATTGAATCCATGAGGTGTCGAAACAGCACACCCAGACGTTGCCATAGATGTCACTCCACCAACGACGGAAGAAGTCAGGATGGCCATCAGACAAATGAAGAGTGGGAAAGCAGCAGGACTTGACAATATACCAGCCGATGCACTAAAGTGAGACTTAGAAGTAATGGCAAAAATACTCCAGTTCCTATTCAGGTAGATTTGGTAGGAAGAACAAGTGCTGATGGAGTGGAAGTAAGGATATCTGATCAAGATACCAAAGAAAGGAGATCTGAGCAAATGTAAGAACGATAGAGGCATTACACCGCCGTCAGCACCAGGAAAGTTTTTCAACAGTGTTGCTGAACTGGATGAAAGACTCAGTAAAGACTCAACTTCGAGATCAACAAGCTGGATTCCGTAAGGATCAGTCGTGCACAAACCGAATCGCGACACTACGGGTCATCTTTGAACAGTCAATTGAATGAACCTCGTCACTATACATTAAGTTGATTGACTATGAGAAAGCATTTGACAGTGTGGATAGGAAACATTATGGAAACTTCTTCGACACTATAAAGTACTTGAGAAAACCGTCAACATCATACGGAATTCATATGACGGACTATACTGCAGAGTGGTGCACGGAGGACAGTTGACAGACGCATTCCAAGTGAGGATCGAAGTCACACAAGGCTGACTACCTGTCCTTTCTCTTTCTTCTAGTGGTTGAGTGGAATATGGAAACTTCGAGATGTGACAGAACTAATTAGACGGTTTGGACTTCACAGATTGTACGACAGCATTCATACAGTTGAAGAATATATGGAACTCAAAACAACTGTCAACCAATATCAAATTCACAATCTTCAATACGAACGTCAAGATAGTTAGTTCTACTGTACGGAGCTAAAACTTTGAGAACTACTACAACC